GGTTTTTTGGGAGGGGTTGGTTACTCCCGGCAGAGCTCAGGGGTTGCTCCCAGCTCTGTGCTCTGGGGACCAGGCAGTGCCAGGCAACAGACCCGGGGCTCCCAGGAGCTGGGGTTCTCGCCTACTGGTAGAGATTGGTCCCCACCTGGGAACGCTGCTGAGTCCCTGCCACGTGCTCGGGACGCCAGGCCACCGGCCTCTTAAGCCCCGGCACCCTGACGTCAAAGAGGCCGCTGTATAAGGGGGTCTCATTCATTCAGTCCTGCAGGGGGGTGCAGAATATCAACCCCACCCCAGAAAAGCCTGTGGGATCGTGAGAAATGTGGCACAGCACCACCCCACCGGGCAGTCCCACACCAACACTGCACGCCAGGCCTGCCCCTTCCTGGCCCTATACCTGTGGGAAAACAGCGTCCCCTTCTGGAATGGCCGTTTCTCTCCCAGCTCTTCCTACAGCCTCACAGCGGCCCTCACCGGAGCTGCCGGTCGTGTGGTTGATCTGAGGTTGGGGGCTGGCATGTATCTGCCCAGGGTGTCAGCAGGACGCGTCTGAGACTGAAGCGGCAGGGAAGGACCCCTCTGGAGCTTCCTTACTTGCTTGCCAGGCTGTTGGAGCTGGGTGCCCAGTGGGATGGTGGGGGAAACGTTCACCTTGACCATCCCGGGCCCAGGGGGCCATGCCGCAGGGGTCACTCTCTCCAAGGCCCAGCAGCTTGGGCCCAAGAGCATCCGGTGACATTTTTCCAATGTGATTCTTGTGCCCCAGCCTTTGGGAGCCCATGGCGTCACCTCTGCCCCAGGGGGACACCGTCACAAGTGCCCAGCCAGCTGCAAGGGCAAGTGGGCAGCGACGAGTCTGTGGGGTGGTGGACACACCCTCTGGGGAAAGGCAGCCGGCGGTCACCTGCCCCTCTGCTGCTCACCCTCCGGCCTGGGGTGGAAGGAGATCCATCAGCGGGTACCCACCCCGTGCCACCCTGGGCCACACACCATTGGTGGGGCCTCAGATTCTCACAAGTCGGAGAGGTTTTATTCTAGCAAATCGAAGGTGCAGCAGTGACCCTGTGTCTCATCTCCTCAGAGGGCTGCTGCCTCGTGTGACCTTCCTGCTCCTGTTCAGTCTGCTGTTGTCCCAGACGGTCAGAGCCAGTCCCCTGGACATGTCCACAGTTGGGGCCTGGGGAAGTACTTGCTGGCAGGAAGCAAGTAGCGGAGCCCTGAGTGCCTGGTGTCATGGCAGAGGGAGGAAGTGGGACCAGTAATTCCATCTACCAGAGCCATTTTCTAGAGCAACGCAAATTGGACAAGGATATTGTGCCATATTACAGTTAGTGTTTAACAATATCATCTTGGATGCAAAAGACCCACATAAAGTAGTAGGTTGTCAAATTGCTAATAAAAGGTTGATTCAACCTGCTCAGGTAGCATTAATCCCGGTATCCAAGGACAGTAGAACATAAGGATATCTATTAATATAGCACATTACCGAGACGATATATTTTTATGAAACCTAAATCATCATCTCAATACACACTTAAAAGTCATTCAATAAAGTCCAACACCTACTCAGGGGTTTTTTAAAGCTCTTAGTAAATTAGAATGGGAAGGGTACTTAGCGAGCGTGCCACATAATGGCATAACACTTCAGCGCCATTCCCACGAAGCAAGGAAATGGAAAAGAATGCTCACTCAACACTATTATTTTCCAATGGCAGCGGTCAAAAATAAGAAATGGAGTTAAGGAGAAAGGGGACTCCATGTTCATTATTTGCAGAGGACGCTGCTATATCCCTAGAAAAACCCCGAGAAGCTTTTGAAAAGCTCTCAGAACTAATAGATTCCGTAAGGGATCGCAGATTCCAGACAAACCCAATGCAGGACAATAGATACAAGATTTCGTGGGTGTAAGATAATATAACAAAACAGCCAGTTGTTGGAATACATCAGGAAAAAATTCCTCCATCCCCCCAGAGAGAGAATGAGAGAGATAGAGAGAGAGAGAGAGAGAGAGAGAGAGAGAGAGAGAGAGAGAGAGATAGGGGCGCCTGTCCCAAAGGTAACTGGGACCAGGCATGAGAAGGCACCGTGGCCTGCAGCTCAGCCTGTGTTCTAAGTGAAAATACCAATAGAACATTATCTTCCTTTCGTTTCGGAAGAGTGCCCCGCATTTCTCTGAGAAGACTACAGGCTCAGCGTGCTCTTCTAGCTGTTAAAACTGGAGACTGAAGCCCCAGCAGCCGAAAACCTCCACAACCCAACCGCCGCCACACTCAAGGCCACTCCCCACACACTCAGGCCGAGCCTCACACACGAGTGAAGCTATTCCTGGACTGCTCATAAGACACTCCCTACCCATTCTCATCATAAGACACTCTCATCGTAAGACACTCCCTACCATTCTCCAAAAGTACCACACCACATTTGATGGGGTTCAAACAGTAGGCAACCAATCATGAAGGATATATATGTATATATATATGCATATATATTTTTTCATATGTATATATGAAAGTTCACATCACTCAACCTTTAACAACATGCTAGTGATATCCTAAAGAAGGTCTTAATGGCCCCTGCCAGAATAGAACAGTCTCCACACTGTTTTGTCTATGGATACTTTTTTGTAGCATTTTTAGCAGTTTTTCACAGCCGAAAGGTTGTGCTTTGGGACAGGGACTGGGGCTTGGGATGAAAACATCCCAAATATGGTGGTGGGAAGGTATCGTGGTGATGGGATTGGTGTTTGAATATTAAGTGTAATCAAATACTGTGAACTACCTTAATAAAATAAAAAATAAAAACTGGAGCCTGAGGGAGTGGAAGGACTAAAGGACTAAGACCCCCGTCTTGCTTCCTGCCCAGCACGGTGCAGTGTTCCCTGAGCACTGCTAGGGGTCACTCCTGAACCCGGAGCCAGGAATAGCCCAGAGTACTGCAGGGTGCCCCTCCCCCAAATTAATTTAATTTATTTTTTTTTCCGAGATCAGAGAGATCGGGCACGTTCAGGGGAGAGCCCAGCAAGCTACCGAGAGTATCTCGCCCGCAAGGCAGAGCCTGGCAAGCTACCCGTAACGTACTCGATATGCCAAAACACAGTAACAACAAGTCTCGTGATGGAGATGTTACTGGGCCCGCTCGAGCAAATCAATGAACAACGGGAGGACCATGACCATGATAATTTTTTTAAAGATTTTTATTTTTTTTTTAAATTTTTAGGTCACACAGCAATGCATAGGGGTTACTTCTGGCTCTGCACTCAGGAATTACTTCTGGTGGTGCTCAGGGGACCATATGGGACACTGGGAATCAAACCCTGGTCAGCCGCGTGCAAGGCAAATGCCCTACCCGCTGTGCTATCGCTCCAGCTCCTCATTTAGTTTAATTTAATTTAAACCTGATTTCCCTATGTGCAGACATGTGTGTATGTGTGTGTGTGTGTGTGTGTGTGTGTGTGTGTGTTGCAAGGCCAGGGTTCGAGCCCTGCTCTCCTGTATATGAACCATCCCCTCGCCCCCCGCTAGCTACAACAGTCCTGTCTGAAGAACATGAGTCAGTGAGGGTGATTCTGAGTCCTGACTGCCAGTGGGACATGAAGTCTGCATGGAAAGATACTGTGTGGTAAGGAATATTGTCAGGATAATGTATGGTTGGGGTGTGGGAAGGGCATTGTTGAGCATCAGCTTAGTCAATACAAGGAATCCGGCTCGCCGCTGAAATATTTAAAGAAATAAAAGTCCACTGAACTTCTGGCTTCTGTTTGTTTGGGTTGGGTTTGAGGGCCACAATCAGTGGTGCTCAGGGCTCACTTCTGGCCTTGTTTAGGGGTCACTCTTGGAGGTCCTCAGGGGACCATATGGGGTCCTGCGGATGGAACCTGGGCTGACCACGTGCAAGGCAGACCCTTCCAGATGCACTATCACTCCAGTCCCGGGACTTCCTACTTCTCTGTTTCCATCAGTAACATCCTTAAGGCAATCTTGAAGCATGGGGAATTTTGTTCCAGGTTATTTCTTGGGAGATGGTGGGGTGGGGGCGTCTTGGCGTGTGCAGAAGCTCTGGATAGTTCCAGGAATGAGCTGCGAATTAGCGATTCCCCAGGAGAGGGAGCCAGAGGACCTGCCTGGAGGCCGGGCTGGGGTTCTAAGGAGCCCTTCCTTGCATCCATCCTGGCTGGAGGCAGGTAGCTGCTTCCCCCTGCGGCTGCACCAGTCACTGGTCTGGTGCGGGGAGTAGTGAGGACCATCCTCAGAGGGTTCAGCCGGCCTCTACTCGCACTACTCCTTGCTCCTCAGCTCTCCTGCGCCCACATTTCTGTTGCCTTTCCCCATCCATTGGCCTTTCCCCATTCTCTCTCTCTCTCTCTCTCTCTCTCTCTCTCTCTCTCTCTCTCTCTCTCTCTCTCTCTCTCACTCTCTCTCTCTGCGATTTCCTTCTGTTTTTATTTTGTTGATTTACTTTGGTTGTTTTTTTTCGGGGGGGGCGGGGGGGTGCATACCTGACAGTGCTCAGGGCTGACTCCTGGTTTTGCATTTAAGGCTCACTCCTGGCAAGCACGGGGGACCATATGGGGTGCTGGGGATGGAACCCCAGTTGTGCAAGGCAAACTCTCTCTACCCACTGTACTGTCTTTCTGGCCCTGATTTCCTTCATCTTTATTGTTTTGTTGCTTAGAGTATCCAGGGGGAAGTGGAGATCAATGAGAAACTCCAGCCCCCGCCTCCTTGGTGGCTGGGGCAGCCCCACATCATCTCACAGTAAGCAGCGTGCAGACACATGATCAGATTGAGAGAAACAGGTTCTATCCCAATGGCTCCATCATTCTCATGGGACAGCCAAAGGCAGATGGATGGACGGATCGTCCATATCCAGCTGCTGGGAGTAGTGGGGGCCACAGGGAAGTACCCGCAGCTTAGGAGGAGAAGACAAGGTCTCGGGAGAGCTAGCACAGGGATTGGGTGGGGAGGCAGAGGCTTGAACTCACGACTCTTTGGAGAAGGGGGTGTTTATTTCACCTTGTTTCTGTTAGGGACTCTCTTCTCGCGGGTGTTTTAACAAAACATTGGTTTCTCCCAGGACCATCGGTTGTGTCTAGTTAAGTCATTCCAGGTGACGCTGGAGATCCAAGATACCCCGTTGAGCTACTCAGAGTGACCCCCCCACTCCAAGCTGCCCCCAGCCCCATATCCTCCCAGAAGGCAGAAACCAGCGGGAAGGTCAGATGTGCGTACATTGGCTGGAGCGTCAGCAGCTCACGGGAGTTGGTCCTCTGGTCTCCCTGCTTCTCCTAAAAGAGAAGGAGCCCAGTGAGCAGATGTGCAGAAATAGAACTTTGACTTTGCTTTCTAGAGAGTGTGAGTCACCATTTCCATAAACAGTGGAAACAGTCCCCCCCTCCAAAATGAAGTGTGGTCTTGTAATCTTCAGAATCTTGGGATTCTAAGCCTTTTTATTTTTTCCTTATGGATCAATTTCTAATCATGCTTATCTTTTCCTGCCCACTTCCCTCGAGTAAATGAAGTATCTTAGGTGGCATTGTCATGCTGGCATCTGAAAAGGGAGGTCTGGCTCTGAATGATGTCTAGCCGGGGGACAGTGCCCTCTGTCTTGACTAAATGAGCAAAACATTGGACCCAGCAATCATAGAATGCACATTCTTTTTAAACGCACATGGAACATTTGCCAAAAAAAAATGACTGTATCCTAAGTCATAAAGCAGGTATCCACACATTTCAGTGATTAAAATCAATACAGACTATGTTCTCTGACTACAGTGCCACCAAACTAGAAATAAATAACAGAAAGATAGTCCAAAAATCTCAATATGTTTGGTAATCTGGGGAAATGCTTCTAAATAGCTCATGGATCAAAAGAGAGACAGAGGAATAGAAATTAGGAACGATTTTGAACTTAATGATCATGAAAACACTGTGTAGAAAGGCTTGTGTGATAAGTGGAGACATGATTAGAGAAGATCTGTATAGTCACGTGCAGGTTCAGAGAGAAGACAGACTGCGGGTCCCTGGGATGGGAAAATAAGACAAAGTGTGTATTAGAAAATAAGATGCACAGCAAATTAGTTAGCTAAGCATTTATCACAAGAGTAGCAAAACAACAGCAGGAAAGGAGGAAGATATAATTAATAAAAATAAGAAGAGCAACGGATGGAATGAAAAATAAGCATTCGGTAGAGAAGATCAATACAGCCTAAAGTTGTTCCCTTGAAAAGACCAATAGAACGAGAAGCCTCTGGGAAGGCTGAGTAAGGGAAAGGGACATACAACCCTGTTAACAAGGCAAAGGAAACCAGGACGGGTGTATTGGCACCGAACAAATGAGGGGGCATCGTGAATAACACGGAAGTGCATTTCAACACTTAGATATAATGAGCAAAGTCCTAGACATACGAAAGTTGCCAAAAATTGTAACAACAAAATTAAAATTCTGAAGTGGTTTTTGTATCCATTAAAGAAGTTAAAAGTCAGTAGTCAAAAAAAAAATCAGGCTAATTAAAATTCAGCCTCCGTGACTTCACTGGTGAGTTTTAGCAGATACTTTAAGAGGCATAGAAGGTCATTTTAATCTTACCCACGTACACTTAGAGCACGCAAGAAGATGGAACGTCCCCAGCTTCTTTTAAGAGGCCAGCATAATCTTGATACCCAAACCTGATTAGGGCACTAAAAGAAAATTATAGATCTCTTCACTGCCTAGAAAAATTACCAAAGTGAATTCATCAGTACATTAAAAGGATACTACGTCTTGGCCAAATCGAGTTTATCTCAAATGTAATGCTGAATATGAGAAAATTAATCACTACAATTCACTCTGTTAACAGACTAAAGGGGGGGAAATTATACAATCATTTCAAGAGTCATGAAAGAAAAAAGTTTCTGGTATAATGACAGAAGCTCTTGAACTGGGACTGGCTGGGGTCGGTCTCTTGAAGTAATGTATTAGTCAGGAGACACCAAGCTGGGCTACAGGAGTAAATTCCCAGGTTTCAGAAGCTTAACATGAAGTTTACCCCACACTGATAAATCCCAGGTAGGTGCAGGATATCTACAGGGAAATTTCCTCCCAATCCATGTCTAGGGGTACAGATGGGAGAGGGGGTTCCAGGAAGCCCCATGTGTCTTCATTGTATTTTTCAGATTCACTGAAGGAGCTAAAGGGTTAGGTTTTTTATGACCAAGTTTGTATGGGCAAACGTCATATCCACTCACCACATCCCACTCACAAGCACTCAGCCCCGTCCCATTCCAAGAGGTACAGCCAGGCAGGTCTACTGTGGACCCAGATAGAGAAAAAAAATCAAAATGGGGCCTATTGAATGCATGGCATCATCCCAGCCACAACGGAAGGAGGTTAACTACAGGAAACTTGCACAGTCATCATGTATCATACTGAAACTGAAAAAAAAATTTTTTTTATAAGACCAGCAGGACTGTTGATATGATCATGCCTCAACTGCCTAACAGAGGCTTCAGACAATGCAGCAAGCTGATCGAAATAGAAGGCTTGGAAAAATTATAAGGCTTAGATGAGGAGAAGTAAACTGTCAGTATTTTCAAATGGCACTGTTTTTAGAGACAGAAGAACTGGCAGCTAAACTGTTAAAATTAAGAAGAGATTGCTAGGGGCCAGAGAGATAATGCACAGGATAAGCATGTCCTTGTATGTGACTGACTCAGGGTCTGTCTCTGGCTCTGCATTTATTTCCCTGTGCTCCACCAAGAGTAAGCCCTAATGACAGGTGAGTGTGAAGAGAGAGAGAGAGAGAGAGAGAGAGAGAGAGAGGGGAGAGAGAGAGAGAGATTTAAGCAAGATTACTAGATAACACACAAGATACCTAAATTATATTTCTACATATCAGTAAGAAATAAAAAATAAGTATTTTTAGTGGCATCCAAATAGAACATGTATCAAGAAATAAATCTTACAAAGAATGTGAAAGTGCTTTTCAAGAAAAATTGTGAAATTGCATTTACAGACATGAAAGCTTAAATGAACCGAAAGGAGTACCGTGCTCATTGATTGGGCGGTTTGGTGGGGTAGAGTGTTGGGGTTCATCTTCTGTAACTTCAAACAGACTCAATTCCTCTCTCACTGCCGGCAGACTTTGAACTGGGGACTGGGTAGTATTATATTTTTGTGGAACTTCAAAGAATCTTTCTAAAATTGAAGTGAAAATGGCAAAAAGTCGTGAGTCTCCAAGACACCACTGAAGGGGAGATGGGAGAATTTGCTGAAGCGTAGAGCAAGGTGCATGATTGGGCTGGATTGTGACGTGGCCATGGGCAGGCTAAGGGAGCCTGGGCAAGGAGAAAGGACAGAAGTAGGCCTGTACACAGATAGACATGAAACCCGGGAGGGCAGCATTGCACACAGGGGACCAAGGGGCCTTCTGGTCATTGCCACTGAAATCACTGATCATCTAGAGGGACAATTATGATGCTCTTGTCATGCACAAAGAGAAAAAAATGTGGTTTATGTTGTTTGGTTGGCTTGGGGACCACGCCTGGTGATGCTCAGGGCTTATACCTGGCTCTGCACTCAGGGATCACTTCTGGTGGTCTCAGAGAATTACCTGGAGTAATGGAACCCGGGCCGGCCACAGACCAGCACCTTACCCACTGTACTCTCTCGAGCTCCACCAAGAATGAAATGTTGACCCACAAAATGGTGACGCTCCTATGAGTGATGTCGAAAGAGGTCTTCATGGCACTAACTGTCACGGAAAGAACATGCAACATGCATCAAAACTAGGTCCTGCTCCTCCTCTTCCCACGAGGGTCCTCCACAGCCCCTCCAGCATCACTGGAGCTCAAACGAGAGCTCTTCGCTGAACCTTTAACCTTGAAACCCAGCCCCTGGGCATCACCTAGGCTGGTTGCCGTTGGCTTGGTGGCGTGTTCCTGCAAAGCCAGAGGCAGGCCTGTGCCACCGCCTCCCGTTGCCCCCCTTGCTGGCTCAGACCATGTCCCATCCTTTTCTTCCTCAGCCGCCAAACCCCTGTGTGAACTCAGGAACATCTTCTGACCTCAGGTACCGTGTGCCATTGGTAGCACTTGCCATATTACCACATGGGTCACCTTTGCCGCCTTTGCCACCTTTGCCTCAATTACATTTGCCACCACCCCCTCCTCACCCTCCAACCCAGTACTCATGGTCTCGCTCTTGGCAGCAACACTACTCTGGGCTCTAGAAGAGTCTAGGAGAAGCTGGAGGGAGCTGACTTGCTCAGAACAGGTCAGGGGCAGGCTGGATCCAGGACACAACACAACCCCACTGGGTTGCTGCCAACCCAACGCCACTGCTCTCTCTTGCCAGGCAGGTACCAGGTGATCCGGGGGATCATCTCGCCCGTCAGTGACCTCTATGGCAAGAAAGATCTGGTGGCTGCCCACCACCGGGTGGCCATGGTCCAGCTCGCCCTGCAGACGTCCGACTGGATCGGAGTGGACCCCTGGGAGAGTGAGCAGGCGCAGTGGACGGAGACGGTGAAGGTGCTCAGGTATGGGAGGCCCCCAGCTGGTACACTGAGCAGGGCCTGCAGGAGATGGGGGGGGCAATGGGGGGAGGTGTGGAGTGGGGGGGGTGCTTCCGCCAGGCCTGCTCGGGGGCAGTGCTAGCAGCTTCTGCTCACTGCTGGGATGACCAGCCCTTTCCCTCATCCTCCGGGAAGTCCTGAGTGGGGCTCCTCGCCCACCCTCGCATCAGGGGATTGGGGTGGGGCACCCAATGGGAGTGCCCAGTCCTGCATGCCACCATGGAGCTGCTGGTGGCTCCGCCTTTTGCTTGCAGACAGGAATGGTAAAGCCAGGGAAGGATGGAGCTGCAGGGACAGCCGCTATGTCCAGGGCCAGAAGCAGAAGACGGGCAGTGGGCTGGCCTCCCTGGGCTGCAGTGGCCTCAGAAGGCAGCTTCTCTGTCCTTTCCTTGTTTTGTTTTGGGGCCAAAAGTGGCGATGCTCAGGGATCACTCCTGGCTATGTTCAGGGAACCATATGGGGGTACCAGGGATCACCCCAGGGTGGCCACATGCAGGAGAAGTGCCCTGCCCACTCTACCATCTCCCCAGCCTCAGAAGGCAGCTTTTTTAACTCCCGGAGTCTGGGGTTCTGGCCCCCCAGCTTCAGGCAGGAGCTGGGAAGGGGAGGCTGAAAATCTCAGAACAGCCGCACTCTGGTCATTTTTCCTCCAGAACTGCCTCGGGCCTCCAGCACAGGTGAGCGGCTCGTTCCACCTGCTCCTGGCCTGGGATGCATCACTGGAGAGAAGCAGGAATCCAGGAGGCAGCCTGCCCATCCCTCAGGGGTGCTCTGCGGGAAGGGGGCAGGCTAGGGGCTGTTTCCTGAGCTTGGAAACCCTGAGATGCTCAGGAAACACAGGCCTTGGGGACAAGGGAAAGTAATACCGTCAGGCCAGTCCAGGCCCAGTTTGGGATTTCAGTTGTTTTACCTTCAGCAGCCAGGGGGATTGGACAGGGCATGTGAGGTGGTGGCCTTGCACGTGGCCAAGCCAGGTTCCAGCCCCAGCACCACACAGGGTCCCCTGAGCACCGCCAAGAGCGATCTCTGAGGGGCTAGAGTAATAGCACAGCAGGCAGGGCATTTGCCTTGCACACATCCGGCCCGGGTTCAATTCCCAGCATCCCATATGGTCCCCTGGGAACCACCAGGAGTAATTCCTGAGTGCAGAGCCAGGAGTAACCCCTGAGCATCACTGGGTATAACCTCCTCCCCGCCCCCCCCAAAAAAGCAAAAAAAAAAGGGTGATCCCCGAGAACACAGCCAGGAGTAAGTCCTAAGTGGTGTCCGCTGAGGCTCAGAAGCAAAAACTTAGGAGAGGGCCGTGAGGAAGCTCAGACGGAGACAAGTCACGCTTGTGGAGGACCAGGTCCTGTCTGCAGAAACAAAAGGCCAGTCAGTTGGGAGACAACTTTTACCTTTTTTAAAAATGTTTAAATTGTCTTTTTTATTTTTCATTTTAGTCACACGGTGGACAATACTGTCCGTGATGGGTTTTCAGGCATACAAATGTTCCAACACCTGTCCCCGCCTGAGTGTCTCAGGGACCCCTCCCCCCCCCCCCCCCCCCCCCCCCGCACTGCGTCACTGACGTAGACCTGTTCTCGGGTTCTGTTCCCTCTGGCTGCTTCTGTTCCCTGGTTGTGCTCTCTGACACCCCCATGTAAGAAAGATGATTGTGTCTGCCTCCCTCCTGACCGACTTCGCTCAGCGTGGGCACCTCCAGTTCCAGCCACACGGAGGCAAATAGCATGATTTCATCTTTTCCAAGAGCCAAGCAGTGTCCCGCTGTGTATACACACACATATAATAGTTTAACATTTACCTTTTTGTGAAAGTTTGGTTTCCACACCCCAGTGATCACGACGCAGCACCTGTGAAAAAACCAGCCAGAGGCACCCGGTGGACTGCAGGCTATTTCAGCAGCATTTTCAGGAGAGAAATGTGAAATCACAGGATCACAGGACACTCTCTGTCTCTCTCTGTCTCTCTCTGTCTCCTGTCTTTTTCTCTCTCCTCCCTGTCTCTCTCTCTCTGTTTGTCTCTCACGCTCTCTCTGTCTCTGTCTCTCACTGTCTCCCTCACTCTCTCTTTCTCTGTCTCTGTTTGTCTCTCTCATTCTCTCTGCCCCTGTCTCTCTGTTTCTCACTCTCTCTGTGTCTCTCTCTTTCTCTGTATCTCTCTGTGTCTCTCTCCTCTCTCTCTGTCTCTCTCTGTGTCTCCTGTCTTTTTCTCTCTCCTCCCTGTCTCTCTGTTTGTCTCTCATGCTCTCTCTGTCTCTGTCTCTCACTGTCTCCCTCACTCTCTCTTTCTCTGTCTCTCTCCCTCTGTCTCTGTTTGTCTCTCTCATTCTCTCTGCCCATCTCTCTGTCTCTCACTCTCTCTGTGTCTCTCTCACCTCTCAGTGTGTCTCTCTCTTTCTCTGTATCTCTCTGTGTCTCTCTGTGTCTCTGTCTCAGTCTCTCTCTTGGGAACTGCACTGACACCTATACCATCCAACCTAGTCAGCCGCTTCCATTTCTCTCAGTTCCCGGGGAGGGGGAGCGGGGGCGGGGGGAGGGAGAGCAGACAAGGCAGGTGACTGACAGGCCCCGAGGCTGGACCGTGGGGTCCGAGGAGCACCCCCAGCACGAGTCACGTTCACTAGCCACGGTCGGGACTGAGCAGAACAGGCTGAGGCTCACTGAGCCCCATCACCAACAAAGTAGGGTGCCAGCACCTGCTTCCCTGGGTGCTGAGCTGATGAGATGGTGCAGATAGACCCCTGGCTTCAGGGAGGCACTTCATCACACAATCGTCTCCCCTCCCCGGCCCCAGCCTGTCCCCAGAGCCTCCAGAAGACCTGACCCCAGCTCCCAGCACAGACGCAGCCCTAGGGCCGATAACCCCTGCCCCGGCCTGGACCCTTTTTTTCCTTTCTGGACTGTGCTGAGTTCGGTGTTTCTTGGCCCTGGCTGTGCCTTGAGCACCCAGGAGGGAGCTTCTTAAGCCTGAGCTTCAGCCCAAGCGCGGGCTTGCTGTGAGTCCAGGGAGGGCCATCAGGATTGCCCCAGCTCCCTGGTGATCCTGACGGGCCACTCAGTGGAGGCCACAGTGCCATTTGCCAGGAATGTGACTGCTGCCAATGATGAGTGCCTGCGTCTCTCCGAGCTGGGGGTCTCAATCCGGCCGTTTGAGCCGCTGGGAAGTGCTCTGGGCCTGCGCAGGTACAGACACGCCGAGGCTAGGATTTGTCTGGGGGCTTGTGAGGCACGACACAGACCTTTCTGTCACTTACCCTTAAGAAGTTTTCCGAATGATTGATTTTGTGTGCCGAAGGTTGAGAATCGCCTGATGGAGTCAACTCAGCTCTTGTGAGGGGGAGGGGGGAAGTGGCGTTATTTTTGTTTAGTTTATGGCCGCAATCGCTCTTAAGCATCCGAGCTCTGTGTAGTCCTGGGCCTTTGCACTGTGACAACTCACAAACCCGCTGCAGAAAAAAACCTAAGTCACCCTCCTGACTTTAGAAACGAGGTTTAGATTTTGAATTAAATGGAATTAAAGCCTTTTGTTGCTTACTGCTGAGACTTGATTGCAAGGCCTCCCAGATGCAAGGGTGTGTTCTACTGAGAAGACACAGTCCTGGCTTAGGGGCTGGGAGGGGGGGCCCACCGCCCACCACCCACCGCCCACCCACCGCAGTGCTGAGTGAGGGGCCTGTGCACTGCCGACACCTGCTGCCCCCCGCCCCCCGCCCCTCTTCCCGGCCCAAAGAACTCCGGGGCTTGGAAATCAGGCCCTCTGGAGCCGAGCCGCTCGTGACCTTATTCCCGACTCAACTTTTATTTTTAATGAGAAAATGAGATCGGGAATGGAGCTCAGTGGTAGAACATAAAACTCACAAGTGTGAGGTCCAGAGTTCAAGTCCACAGCATCACCACAAAAACAAAACATAAAAAATGAGAGCGGGGGGCCGGAGCGATAGCACAGCGGGTAGGGCGTTTGCCTTGCACACAGCCAACCCGGGTTTGATTCCCAGCATCCCATATGGTCCCCCAAGCACCGCCAGGAGTCATTCCTGAGTGCATGAGCCAGGAGTAACCCTGTGCATCCCCGGGTGTGACCCAAAAAGAAAAAAAAAATTTAAAAAAAGAGAGAGAGAGAGGGAGAGAAAGAGGGATCCAAGGGTACCCAATTGTAATACAAGACTCTGGGCCAAAGTAAACCATTTGCTGTTGGTATTCTTTAGGCAGCTAGAATGTAGGTGAGTCAGGAAAGCCATTACCAAGAAAGCCCCACATGGCAGGGCCGGGGTGTAGCCCAGCCGTCACCTTCCTACTTGTGTTCCATCCCCAGCTCCGCAAATATCTGCAATAACTCCGTAGCAACAGCAATAACGGCAGTGATGAGGCAGCAGTGTGAGAGGGGTGCAGAGGGAGGACAGACCAGCCGGTGCCCTCAGTCTGAGGCTCCCAAAGGCAGGGACGGGCTGGGACCTGGCACTCCTGACCTGACTGTGGCGGGGAGGAGGGCAGCCTCTCGGGCCCTGGGCCTGGAGTCACGCCTTGTGGTTGCAGGTTGAGACTTGGCCGCTGAGCCCCCAGCCCTGGTCTCTCTGGGGGCCACAGAGGCACCCTGAGCCCCTGTTTCAAACAACACAGGCATCACCACCGCAAGCTGCTCGCATCTCTGCCCTGGACCGAAGGCCCCGACCTTGGCGAGGCTCCATCCCCTCCCGCTGCAGGTGGGTGCTGAGCCCGAGGCGGCAGCGGGAGGGGAGGGTGAACAAAGGGTGTCCAACTCCGGTTTCTCCCGGGTCCACTGGGAAAGGCGTGAGCATAGCCGGGCCTCCGGCCACGGGTATCCGAGGCTCACCACGGATTTCCTGCCTCTAAGGGGCTTACGTGACCTGCGCGGGTGCTCGTGACCCGGATTACAAGTGGGTTCTACGGGAACAAGCCGATTGAGGCTGGGCTTCTTGGGTGCCCAGGAAGCTTTGAAGACAGGCTTGACTGGCTGGGGGGTTTGGGGGGGGTTGGGGGGGTAAGGCAGAGGTCAGGGCCAAGAGCAGGGTCACCGGATGGTACCAGAGAAGAGGAATTCCTGCTTTCAAGGGGCCTTCAGGTGGTCATGAGGCATCTTCATGCGTCTTCCCTGTTGTCGGTGCTGGTGTCACTCCTGGCAAGGCTCGGTGGCCCTCCGTGGTGCCGGGGATGGAAGCCTTGTGACCGCGGGCAAGGACAACTCCATCCCACCGTCTCTCGATGGAGCCCGTTGGCTCTGATTTCCAAGCACCAAAGGTTCCTTCTTCCAGAGCAGTCCCAGGACCAGGGTTTGACCACGCAGAGACCCCTCAAGCAGGAGCAGGAGGGGGCAGGAAGTGAGTGGCCTCAGTGGGGACTCCCTGACACCACCACCCCCCCACACCATGTTTCCCCATCACAGGGGTCAGGGATGCCACAGGGAGACCAGCCGCCTGGCCCCTTCCCTGGAGGGATCACTGCCTCCCTAGCTGACCCCAGCCAGGCCAGGGCCGAGGGCTGCTGTCCATTCTCTTCATCCTGCGACCCCTTTATAATGAACACACGCAGAGGCACGGGGGCCTCTGGTGCAACACCCCCCCCCCAAGGACTTGAACTGGCCATGAGGTGCCCTGAAGGTTCCATGCAGAGACCCCACAGACTGCTGGGGGGTCACGCACGTAAAGTCAGAGGGAGGCTGAGGAAAGCCCCTTCCCAGGCCCCAGGCTACCCAGGGTGAAGGGGCTGGAGTGTGTGTGTGGGGGCGGGGGGCGGGGGGGTGGCGGGCGGGTTTGCCCAGCTTTGGGTGTGATGGGCCTGGGGTGGGCTTCCCCTAGAGCGGGCAGAGCAGACATAGAGCAGAGGGAGGTGGACTCTGTGTCCTCCCCGGGTACCCTTCCCTCGGCCTCTCCTCAGCCTCCTCTCTGCGGCCTCCCACCCCCCCCCCCCCCCCGTCCCCCTCCAGCACTGCTCACTCCCAGCTCCCTGTCTGTGGTCAACCCCAGGCCAGCATCTGTGCAGGAAGGTTCTGTGGATGCTCTGGTGCCCGCCAGGTACTTTGAGAGCAGAGGAGCAACAGGCTGAGCTGGGGGCTGTGAGGGGCTGGCCCAGGCTGAGCTGGGGGGGGGGGCTATGAGGGGCCCCAGGCTCAGTCTGTGATGGGGGTGGTGGTGCTGTGAGCAGCCAGGAGCTGGGTAAGGCATGAAGGCCTAAAGGAGCAAAGGGCCAGAGACCATGTGACCTTGGGGTGCTAAAGTAGCCAGTGAGAGCAGGGGTTGGCCCTGGAGTGGGAGGGAGGCCTGGTGTGGGCGAGAGACTGAGGAAGGGGAGGAAGGGGTGGCAGAGAGGGAGGGAGGGAGGGTGGGAGGGAGGGACGGATGGAGAGAAATCCTGGGGAGGGACAGAGGCTCTGGAGAGGACGGAAGTGGCCTTGGGAGGAGGATGGTGGCCCTGGGAGGAGGGAGGTGGCCCTGGGGGGGGGGAGGGAGGTGGCCCTGGGAGGAGGAAGATGGCCCTGGGGGGGGGGAGGTGGCCCTGGGAGGAGGAAGATGGCCCTGGGGGGGGGGGGAGGGAGGTGGCCCTGGGAGGAGGAAGATGGCCCTGGGGGGGGGGGGGAGGTGGCCCTGGGAGGAGGAAGATGGGGGGGGGGGGGAGGTGGCCCTGGGAGGAGGAAGATGGCCCTGGGGGGGGGGGGGGAGGGAGGTGGCCCTGGGAGGAGGAGGTGACCCCGGGGAGGAGGGAGATGGCCCTGGGAAGAGGGAGATGGCCCTGGCAGAAGGGAGATGACCCTGGGAGGAGGGAGGTGGCCCTGGGGAGGAGGGAGGCCTCACAGAGCCCTTTGTGTCTCACACTGACCCTCTGCTGCCTCCAGCATTCCTATCCTGTTCCTTCTTCCCCGCTCCCTCCTGGCTCCCCCTTGGACCTCACCTCCCTTCCCTCCTCCTCCTCTCCCCCACAGTCTCCCTGAACCTGCTCTCCCCTTCCACACCCTCCATCCTACTCCTCTGGTTCTCTTCAGAATGGACGCTTAGATAAAGGGAATTTCCCTGGAGCGGAAGCTGACTACGGTGCCTGTGCATAGCTGGGGACCATGCTGGCACCCTTTGCTTGCCAGAATCCCCTCTCAGAGCCTGGCTGGGAAGCCGGGCACAGACTCCCGTGGAAAGACGCGTGGCACAGAGTTCTAGTGGTGGCAGAGAATAAAAGGCCCCCAGGTGTGGGTGCGCAGGCCCTACAGACACACGGGGTGCTCCGCGGTGTGGGAATGCTTGTGAGGGGAGTGGAGGACGCAGGGTCCGGGGAGGTAAGAATCCAGGGCTCAACATCAGCTGCATGTCTGAAGTACGAAAGACTAAAGAAACACACCAAAATATTGACTGTTTATTTTAGACAGCAGATTTGCAGCTGTGGCTATTTTCTACTTAAATGCTGATTATTTTCCATATGCTCCATTAAGGACACAGATTTCCAATTTGGAATCAAAAGAAGAAGGGGGGGGGGGGGGAATCTGGTGTGATTTTCCCAAGCAAGGGCCCGTTTTTCTCAGCCCAGGCATCCGACAAGGCAGTGGGTGTTCCTGGAGATTTTTTTTTCCTCTTTTTTCCTTCTTCTGTTTAGGAACCATGACTTACAAAGGTTTATTATAAGAGAGTTTCAGATACATCCCAGCACCAACCTCACCAGTGGTGCCAGGCTCCCTTCCACCCCGCAGCTTGCCTCCTTGGCAGACACATCTTGTTTTGGTTTTGGTTTTGGTTTGTTTGGGGGCCACACCTGGCGATGCTCCGGGGTTACTCCTGGCTCTGCACTCAGGAGTCACTCCTGGTGGTGCTCAGGGGGCCGTATGGGATGCTGGGAATCGAACCCAGGTTGGCCGCGTTGGAGGCAAATGCCCCACCTGCTGTATCACTCAGACCCAACTTGCTGATGTTTCTAAGAGTCTTAGAGAGCCTATGAGACACCCTGTGAGCCACATGTTTCTTGGCCTCAGGTGTCACCCTGCTCTGGATACAGTTTCCAGGCTCTGCCCACCAGGCCCACCTGCCCTTAACTGCTGGGGTTCACGGCCCTTCGGTGTCCAGGAGTCAGGCGGGCGGCTATGCTCTGGGCTGTGTAAGGTGATGGTGGGAGGTGGGGGAGGGTGTCGGGTCCTTGAGCTGCCTGCCCCAACTGAGCCCCAGGATGTGGCCCCACCCTTGGCTGATGGGAGCTGGGGCGGGTCCCTCTCCGCATCCCTTGGTCTGTTTCCGTGTCCCTGGGTGACCCACGGGGTATCTGCATGATTCACTGGGGAGGAGGACCTCAGACACCAGCACCCGACACAACCCTAGAACGTCTTCTGGGGACATGTCTGGGCCACATCCCAGGGAGCCCACAGTGGACCATGAGGTGCCACAAGAGGTCCAGAGTCAGGAGGACCCACAGTGAATGTCCCCTGGCCTGCTCTTGTCACCACAGCGGCCACAGGATTTTTTCTCCCTCCCCCACCCATCAGCCAGTCACTACAGAACATGTCTGGGGGCTCCCAGTGCCCCAGGACCCACTCTCCCCCCACAGATCAGAAACTCAAATCCAAGGCACACCGACCTCAGCATGACACTGCTCGCTGTCAGAGTTGAGGCCACCGGTCACTCAACAGTAACTGACTGACGCTTCCCTCCTGCTCTGTCCACGCCAGTCTCTGTGACTCCAGCCTCTCCAGGCCTCTGGCAACTCAGGGACAGCACACAGCCCCGGGTATCCCCACCGCCACTGCCTCATGTCCAGTGTGGCCTTTATTCGCCATCCTGTCCTTTAAACGTGGACAAGCAGAGTCCCCAGATCAGCAGGTTGGAGAGCCCCATAGGTGACTCAGAAAGGGCCGAGTCCTGGGGATGCTTGATGAGTTCCTGGCCCAGAGTTGGAATCTGGGGGCCTGGGTCGCAGGAGGGGGAGGAGAACCATGTCCCCTCGGCACTCAGGGAGGGTCTTGGCACGGCTTCTCTTCTTGGCGGTCACCGGGAGTGAACCACACAGCATGTGAGAGCTGTGCTTGCAGGCCAAGAGTGTCCCCACAGAAATACAATGGAGGAAGGCAGGAAGGGGGTGGGGGTCGCCTTCTCACTTCCCTGACCTGTGGGAATAGGGGGATTCCCCCAAGCGATCCTGGAATTTAATACATATCCCTTAACTCCCCCCCCACCTATGCCCAAACACACACACACACACACACACACACACACACACACACACACACACACACAGAGCCACATAAAAACCACCCTGTTTGAAAGGTCAGGCTCTGCTCTTGTGCCGTTTTACGACGGTTGAATAAGTAAGAAACGGGAGCCGAAGCTCGTGAACGCAGAGAGTGTGTCGAACCCATATGTATGTGCTGAGCACTGGGACTGGCCCCGTTTAATGAGAAGCGTCAGTGGCTGGGTAACTTTAAATGCCGTTTTATTGATTTCGAGAGCCGAGCACTTAGGAGGTACCTCCTAATCGTCAAGTGTGCGCTTTGGCGAGAGGGTCTGTGGACAGACAGGAGGGGGGAGGGGGGTCATGGCACTCTGGTCCAGGCCTGGCATGCTACACGCGCAGACTCCGAGTTCTAGCTTCACCCTTTGAGACAGGCGTGTTAGTAGCTTCACTGGGGTGTCCAGGTTACACCCAGTGGCCAAGTGGCAAAGCCAGTACTGGAGTCAGAACTGGACTGAACTCCTAGTTCTCGCCCACCGAGAGCTCAGGCACTGGCGAGTGTGGGACGACCCTTTCATTAGAGTAGAAGAACAATTCCCTGGGCTTCCACTGTCAAGGGGGCAGAGCGTCTGCAGGTTTTCCACTGCTATGGATGCTGAGTGAAGGTGTGAGGATGAACACGGGGGTGGGTTGTGGGGGAGTCTGGAGCTGCCACTCAGGGAAAACTGAGGCCCAGAGAAGGCTGGGTCAGCACCTGCCACACAGGAGCATCTGCCCTCCAGGGCTAGAACTCCGTAACTCCCCCTCCCATAGCTCTGGTCCACTTCCAGAACTTTCCAGAACCTTCCCTGGAAGCGCCCCAGACTGAGGTTTCACGAAGCACTCTAGCAGCCCAGCCTTGGCCACTTCACAGAAGCTGGACTTTTCTTCCGAGACGCCCCCAGCCTGTACTGAGCATTTCCGGGTCAGGTGGCCCCTTCCCAAGGCCCTGGGGAATGTTGCAGGGACAGACTCTGCCAGCAGGCGGGGGCAGAGCCCAGCGGTTGCAAGAGCCCCTCCTGGAGGCTGGTGACCTGCGATGAATCCTGACTCCTCCATCTGACACTGCCACCTCCTCCCTCCTGTGCCACTTGGTGCCTCAGTTTCCCTCTCCACAAAACGGGCACAATAATACCACCTCCCATGACATTAGCCCCATGAAACACTTAGTTAGCAAAGATGCCCAGAGTTGGCGCTATGGTGGGGTGGGTGGCCGGGTCACTCCATTAGAACAAGTGCCAGAAGAGGATCCTCAGGGATGAGTTTGGCCAGAGCTTGGTCTTATTGGAAACAGCTGTAAAGGTCACCAGCTGGGGTTCTCGGTGGCCTCAAGGTGACCCCGTGAGCCTCCCACGAGTTCCTTTGCAATGAGCCTCTATAAGATTTTACTTCCAGCAAAACTGCCGGGTTCTCAGGGGCTGGAATGGGTGCAGAAACGGACTCTGAGACGAGCAGTGTCCATCTGTGGCACCCATCAGTGCCCGAGGCCCAGTGCTTGTTAAGATCATCCATCGGGGCCTGGAGCCCAGGCACAGCTGCCTCAGACCCTTTTGGTAAGGGACCTAAGTGGGATGCGGTGGTGGGGTAGACGTTTTAGGGGTTCGCTAGAACCAGGCCTGGACCTCCTGGCACTTCCCCGGGCACCAGACAAACGCTCCACTGGCTGCGTTACCGCCCACCTGGGACCGGCTCAGGTTTGTCTTTGCCCGTCCCGTGCTACTTGGCGACCTGGAGCAGTGGGTGGGTGCCACGAGCGGCCCCGGGGGTCTTTCAGGAGCGATGCCGAGCTCTCAGCGCCCGCCCGACTCAGCAGCCCTGCCCGTGTGTCCTCCCGCAGCCGCGCCCGAGCTGAAGCTGCTGTGCGGGGCCGACGTGCTGAGGACCTTCGACACGCCGGGGCTCTGGGAGGAGGCGCACGTGCGCGAGATCGTGGAGCGCTTCGGCCTGGTGTGCGTGGGCCGCACGGGCCACGACGCGGCCGCCTACGTCGCGGGCTCGCCCCTGCTGCGGCGCTTCCGGCACAACATCCACCTGGCCACCGAGCCCGTGCGCAACGACGTCAGCGCCACCCTGGTGCGGCAGGCCCTGCGCCGCGGCCAGAGCGCCAAGTACCTGCTCCCCGACGCCGTGCTCGCCTACATCACGCGCCACCGCCTCTACGCCCCCGACGCTGCCGGCTCCGCGGGCCCACGGGAGAACCAAGGACCGGCCAGCTAGGGTGGGGCCCCCTGGACAGAGGGCTCCCGCCCCGGGCTTCCCCTGCCTCCCCCACTCCTCCCCCTCCATCCTCCTCCATCCTCCCCACTTCCTCTGCCCTCCCTTCCTGCCTTCCTTAGTTCTTCCTTTTCTCCTTCCTTCCCTCGCTCCTTCACATCCCCACTTCCCTCTCTCTCTCCCTTCTTTCCCTCCATCCTCCCCACCTTCGGCCATCCTCAATTCTTTCCTTCCTTTGTTCACTCTTCCTTTTCTTCTTCCTTCCCTCTCTCCTTCATATCTCCTTCTTCCCTTTTTCCCTCCCTTCCTTCTTTCCTTTCTTCCATCCTTGTTCTCTCCCTCCCTCCCGTCTTTTCCTTCCTTCCTTCCTTCCTTCCTCCCTCCCTTCTCTCCTTCATCCCATTCTTCCTTCCCTCGCCCTCTCTTCCTTCCTTTCCTTCCTTTCCTTCCTTTCTCTTTCTTCCCGTTTTGCTTTTACACGTTTCTGGCTTCAGTTCAACAGACCTTTCCCTGAGGACCCCCGGTGTCCCTGCTAGAGCGGTCCTCCCCGCCCACTGTGTGGGACCTGTCCCCATCACCAGGACGGGCATCCATCCTCCTGTGCTTACAGGGTGCCACAGGTTCTTAGAAAAATGGTCATAAGCTCTCAGACCCTCTGGATAAAGAGACCTTCTTGATGGAGTGCCCAGAATGGGTTCTGAGCCCACAGGACCCCTGAGGGTAGGGACAGAGGGCCCATTCTGCAGGGTTTGACTTGGATGGAGCGCCACATCCGGGTCCTGATTGGAGGGACCTGACAGTTTGCTCATCTCAAGCCACATTTCAAACGCAAACTCCCTAATGGGCAGCTAAGGACAGTTATGACAAGAGTCAACATTTGCTGATTTTCCTGGAGTCCGTCCTGCCCTGGTAGTAACGGCCTGGCCTCCTGGGCTGCAAGTCCAGTTGGAGCTAAACTTTGCCCAAGGCATTGACTGACCAGACTCTTTTTGATGGAGCAGAGTTTTCGAACCCAGTTATCCTCCCCAGGGTTCCTGGCGTCCCAGATTCTAAGAAGGAACGGATGATGGGAGACAGCTGCCTGACTCCACACAGTCTGTGCGCGTGCGTGATGGCTGCCCCCCGCCCGCTTGCCTGTTGGCAAAGGGAGGAATAATAAATCGACATCAAAAATATGGACGAAAAGTTCCTCCTTTGTTATATTATTCATGCCCGATGTACCCGCGGTTGCTCTTCCTTTTTAGCTACTCCATGGAATTTGCTCCCGTTCCGATTGAACAGGGTGTATTTAGAAGTTTATGTTCCCAGGTACCAGCTGCCGGGTCAGTGATTGCTTTTTCACCCCCTGCAGGCAGCTCTCTGGGTGAACAGCTGGGGCTGGGTGGGCGGATGAGTGGGTGGGGTGGATGAGTGGTGAGAGCCCGTTAATGGACTCTCAGATGGGCGGGGTGGGTGGACAGTTGGACCAGGTAGGTGGATGGTGTGTGGGGAGGACGAATGGGATGTATGGGTGGAAGGGCGGATAGATGTGTGGGTCAGATAGGTAGAAAGGTGGGTGGATGGGTGGGGGTGGGGTAGGTGGGTGGGCAGATGGATGGGTTCATGTGTGGTGGGGTCAGTGGGTGGGTAGATGGATGGATGGACAAGTGAGTGGAGTAGACAGGTCGGTGAGTGGATGGGTGGGGTGGTGTAGCTGAGTGGGCAAGTGAATGGGTGCGTGTGGGGGTGGGGCAAATGGACTGGTAGGTGGATGGATGGACGGGATGAACAGGTGGGATGGAGAGGCAGGTGGGTGGGGTAGGTGGATGGATGGGTGAGGCTGGGCTAGACAGGTAGGTGGGTGGATGGGCGGTGGGTGGCCCAGGTGCTCTGTGATGGGCCTCTGTCATCGCCCGCTGGGACGCTGACTGCACATGGTGCTTTGCTCTTGCTCTCATGACTGTGTAGGGAACCAACTTGTCCATCCCCAGTTACACGGTCTGTCCTGCACACACTCAACCTCTCGGCAGAATCAGGGAGCAGCCCAAAATACACCCCAGTATTTTTCTGTACTCAGATGAAGATGAAACTAGTATTTCCCGGACCCTGCTGTGGGGCGTCCCACATGCTGCCCCCCTAAACTGCTGGTCAGTTCCTACCTCATTGGGTCTCCCTGGTCGTGGGTCCCTAAGACCCTGATCATGGCTGGGGGGGGGCAGTAGAAGGGGCTATGTGGACAAGAATCAAATAGACCTGTCGAAGAGGTGCTAGTGGCCACTGGACGGCGACCCCAGCGCCCTGACCTCTGTCCTCTGGATTCTCTTGCAGCTCTCATTAGCTGTGACTCAGCACCTCTGACTTCCAGTCCCTACCAAAAACTTGCCAAGGCACAGGGCTCTGGGTCATGCTTGCTGTTCTAGCCCTGGAAGGAAGCCCTCTGGACCCTGCTCTGGAACCCAGGGCTCAGCATCCACCTCGGGAACATGATCCATCCCCAGCCTCAGAGCCTGTTCCACGTCATGTGTACATTGAACATGTATGATCGGGGTCACATCACATGTCCCCTGGGAGTCCACAGCGCCAGCATGATGCTTTGCCCCGACCTTGGACGGGATGCAGCAGTAGCAGCCCTGGTCCCTCCATTCACTGACCCTGGTACCCGCCGTCCCCTCCCCACGCGGAGATGACAACAGAAGTACCTCAGACATCACCACATGTCCCCGGACACGAAGCAACCCCCAGGGTTGGGCCCCACTGGCTTAAGGGGGAGCCTAGGTGGGTCTGTGTATTGGGAGGGGCTCTTGTTTAGAGAAAACCCAGCAGCTTTGAGCTCGGCATCTCTTAGAAAGGACTACGTTGGGGTGGGGGGATACCCCATGACTCAAGAAACCGTATTTATTCTAAGGGAACCCTCTGCTGTCAGCAAGGGGATTAGGAAGCACAGCTCTGACCCAGAGGCACTCCAACTGCTGTCTCCCTCCGCTGCCAAGAGCTTCCTCCCCACATTTATGGGCTGGGGTTGCGGAAGACCCTGGACCCCAGTATAGATGCGGGGGGCGGGGGGTGGGGGAAACCTGACTCGGGAGACTCGGTGTAAGAGGAAGCTGGTCTGCAGATGAGGAGATTTGGATTCACAGCATCTGTGGATTACGGTCAAGTGCCCTGAGAACCTCCTGGAGACTCAGCACATTAGGAATTCGGTGGGACTATGAGAATAGACTGTTCGCCCCAGAGCCGGCTGCTTGGGGGGCAGTTGGGGAGGAATTGGGCTTGGGCTCCTGGAGGAAGGAGCTCGTGACTGCAGACTGTGCAGAGTAACACATCAGCATCCTGACCCCAACCCAGGTCTGCCCTGTGGCTGGTGAGGTGGAAACTGCAGCCTCAAGAGCCCAGACCCTCCCCTATGCCCCGGGGTGTGGGGGGAGGGGGCTCCCCTGGGGGACTTCCAAATCCATAGGGTTTGTGCTCCTTTCAGTGCCATGCCCAACAGTGCTCAGGAGCTATTTCTAGCTCTGCGCTCAAGAACACCCCTGGTGATAGAGAAGGGGCCACCAGGACAAGGATAGCTGGAAATGATCACTCTGGATAAGAATTGTGTTCTGAAAATAGGTAAAGGAACAAACATTTTAATCTCTCGGTACCTCTACTGTAAACCATAATGCCCAGAAGAGGGGAGAGAAAGAGAGGGAGAGAGAGAAACAGGAGAGAGACAGAGAGAGAGACAGACTGACAGAGACAGACAGAGACAGAGAGACAGAGAGAAGGAAAGTGTCTGCCATAGAGGAGGCTGGGGGGAGGGGGGTGGAGGGGAAAATTGGGACACTGGTGGTGGGAAAAGTGCACTGGTGGAGGGATGGGTATTGGAAACTGTAAGACTGAAAGTGGACCATGAGCAGCTTTGTAACCATCTCACAGTGATTCAGTTTGGAAAAAAAAAAAAAAAAGAACGCCCCTGGTGGCCCAGAGAACTATGGTGCTGGGGATTTGCACCAAGGTCAGCAGGATGCGAGGTGCCTGCGTGGAGCCCTGTGCTACCTCTCCAGCCCCTTGATGGCTTTGGGAAGGGAGGGGCCAGGGAGAAAGCTCCAGTGACAAGTGCTGAGGCCCCACCCACACTACCAGCCTAGCACCCCCTAGAGAGGCCGCGCCAATCCCTGGTAGTAAAGGAAATGAGACATCAGGCCTATTTTCCCAGGCTTCCGAAGCTTGTAAAGAAGGAAAAAGGAAGAGCTTCTGGAGGCAGTGTGTGTGAAGCCAGCGCCACTCCAACTCAGAAAGATGCTTCTAGAAAACAAAACCGCCCCTCACCTCAACTGGGATGAATACGGTTGTGAAATATCCTAAACCGCACTATCTGTGTTGCAAACCATAAAACCCATAAGGAGAGAGAAAGAGAGAAATAGGGAGACTGTCTGCCATAGAGGCAGGGGGAGGGGTGGGACAAGGTTGGGGGAGGGAGACTGGGGACATTGGTGGTGGGAAACGTGCACTGGTGGAAGGATGACTGATCATTGTATGACTGAAACGCAAACATGAAAGCTTTGTAACTGTAGCTCATGGTGATTCAGTTTTAAAAAATTGAAAAAAAAATTAATTAAAACAAAAAGAACTATCCTAAACTGCGTGCTGGTGAGTCAAAACTAGGCAGAGCTCCGAGTCTGACTCAGCTCAGGGGCTGATTGTCTCCCCAAGAGTGGACATAGGCAGGGGAGAGGATGCAGCTGGGAGGGGCACAGGGTCAGGGAGTGGGGCGCAGGGCCCACCTGCCCTCAGCAGGTGAAAGCTAGTCCCCAGGCCAGAGGAGGCTCAAAGGGGGCTGGGGGTATGGCCTGGCCCCCGGTTCGAGAAGCACATGTCCCCAGTGACATAGACCGCGTCCTCCCTGCAGGATCCTTCCTTGGCCGGGTCTCCCAGGTTGGCCACTGGACAGTGGCTCCGTAAAGCTGCAGGTTCTATTCCTCCGGGAGCCCAAACCAAAGTCAACAAGACCCAGATTCAAGGAAGGCGCGAGGGCAGCGGAGGGC